TGGTATACATAAAAGAGAGAAGAGTTGCTTAAGAAGTATATATTATAGTAATGTAATGGAAATTTATGGTCAAAGTGAGTGAATTTAGGTGGACAATACACAGGGAAGTCCAGTTTTCAGGACACAACAAGACAAGAGTGACAGTGCTGCTTCTACTCAGCAGTGGTTGTGCCTTCCTCTAAACAACAAAAGTTGGTGTTTCCCCCATTAATGAAATTCGGTTATTATATATTAATGAAATTTTAATATTATGAACAATAAGATAGACATGTGGGTAGTACTCATTGTTTGAGAAAATGGTTGGGAGTAAGAAGATAGATTGGGTTGGGTTATATTTAGCATGATTGATTATTAATGGGCCTTTTGACCCACCCACTTTGTTTTTTATTTCATTTTTGTCACCCCACCCAACTTTTTTTAACTTTGTTCAACAAAATTTAAACACATGAAAACGAAAGCAAAACTCGGTTGTATCTTTTATCTTTTCATCTTTTTTGTGGTATTTGCGCATTTCTATGTATTGAGTGCGACCAATACTCTTTTGAAAACAAAATGTATAATTGTTAAGAGTAAATGGTGAAAATATCTGCTCTTTGATGTTATATACAACAAATAAAATTTATCATTTTCTTTTTCTTTTTTCCTGTTTCAAAACATTCCATATCAGAAATTTGAAAAAAATAAAACATTCCATAACATTTTGTATTTCTTAAAATATATTTTTACATATATCTTTATGTGCATTTGGGTTAACCCATTGAGAAATATTTATACGATGAATAACTATGATCCACAAGATACTTGAAAATATACTTTATGTAAAAAAAAAATGAATATTCTAGACTCTTATCCAGAATCCTATCCTAAAGGAGGCATGTCCACAAATGTACATCACAGATTTTCAGTGGATCATCTTTTTCTTCAAGATATTGTTCTTCTTCACCTCTACCTAATTAATCTTGTCACAACAAAATTTGAATCTTTATGGATTTCAAATAATTGATACATATCTTTTCTTGTAGAGCTATGTCACGGTTATTCAACTTTGTATATTTCCTTATACTTTTGCCATTTGTTATTTCACATGCAAAATTCAAAATCAAAGTGTTTTATAGAACATTACATATTTATTTCATCAGACATTGGAAAATTCGATAGAAAATATCTCGCAAACCGGAAAACAAATGTTAAACCCGGAAATTAAAACCCAAGAAAGAAAAAAAAACAGATGATAAAATCAAAGGTGCAGGGATAAAGTTTTGCTGTTTATACAAACAAAGCAAGAAGTTGGTAAATTAAGCACCGGTGAAGCTTGGGGGCTTGTAGGCAATGAAACTGATGCACTGGACTTGACGGTTGTTGTCGAATCCGATGCTCCTGATAAAGGCATTAGGGTATTCCTTCTTGCACTCTTGCACTTCCTTCAACACTTGAGTTGAGTCAGTGCATCCGAACAACGGTAGCTTCCACATTGTCCAGTACCGTCCATCATAGTATCCGGGTGTGTTTCCGTGCTCACGGTACACAAATCCATGCTACAACACACACATTTTACATACAACCACTCTAATATCAATACGAATTATACACAAATGGCTATTACCAATATATAAATAGAGATTTCTAATTATCCATTTTAACAATATAAACATGGGTTAGATTTAAAATTTGCATATGACCTCTCTAAATAGTTTAAGATAGTTGCAAGATTCATATGGTTATTGTCTTAACTTAATTTGAACTAGAAGATCTCTAACTACTCTTAAGTAATTATGTATAAAAGTTTGATTACCTCCAACAAGGAATCCACTTGTTACGGAGAAGGTAGTCAACTTCCTTAGCCGATTCAACATCGGTAAGGTCAGGAAGGTAAAAGAGAGTCTCAAATTTATTCTTTCCAATCGGAGGCCACACCTATTTTTTATTTTATTTTTTAGTCAATAAAAATAAGATTAGGTTTTATAATTCGAATGAAGACCAAGCAATTTATTTGATATAATGAAAATGAAGAAGAAATATGGACCTGCATGCAGTTAACTCTTCCGCTGTTGCTTGCGATGGAAGTAATGTCGGTGTTGGTCCTGCGGGTCACTGGGAAAGCAGCGGACTACTTGAGTCCAGTGAAAGGTGCGACCATTGTGGCTTGAGCCGGAGAAGTGACCTTTGTAGCAGAAGAGAGCATAGAGGAAGCCATATTTGCCTTCTCTTTTTTTCTTCTTTGTGTGTGACTAAGGTTTGGTATAAGGCTTTGGTCAGCTATATAATGGTATCAACAGTGGACAAAGGCCGTGGAATGATCGGATGGTCCAGGATTCATGAGATTGGAGTGAAATGAGATTTAGGCCATTGGATTGTTGAGTGGATATGTGTGAGGTTTAATTTACATTGGTAACAGTCACAAAGGCTAAGGAAAGGTGTTGAGACCCTTATCGGTTTGAATCACTAGAAAAATGCCACGTGAAAGATAATTCCATGAATCTTGTCGTTATCAATGTGTGAAAATGTGTGATGGTGGTCCTACTCATTTTACTTTCCGGTGGTTTTGGCTACTTCCTTTGGAGGAAATAAATCTTACTACTTATGGC